TCTGGGTTCTCTGTTCTGTTCCATTGGTCTATATGCCCGTTCTTGTGCCAGTACCAGGCTCTTGTGAGTACAGAGTTTTTGTAGTATAAGTTGATATCTGGTATTGTGATCCCTCTAACTTTGTTCTTTTTTCTCAAGATTGCTGTGGCTATTTTGAGTCTTTATTGATGACATATAAATTTTTGGAATATTTGTTCTAGGCCTTTGAAATATGCCCTTGGTATTTTGATAACAATTGCATTTAACCCATAGATTGCTTTCAGTAGTATGGCCAGTTTATTGATGTTGATTCTACCAATCCATGAACACAGTATATTCTTCCATTTGTGTATATATTACTCTATCTCTTTTTTCAACATCTTGTAGTTTTCTGAGTATAGGTCTTTTACCTCCTTAGTGAAGTTTATTCCTAAGTATCCTAATTTTTTTTTTGTTTCAATGGTAAATAAGATTGTTTGTTTAGTTTCCCTTTCTGAGAGTTCATTATTGGTGTATAAAAATGCCATAGGTTTCTGGGTATTAATCTTATATCCTGCTATGTTACCAAATTCATTTATTAAATCTAGTAGTTTTTTCATGGAGTCTTTAGGATTTTCTATGTACAATATCATGTTGTCTGCGAATAGTTACAGTTTTACCTCCTCCTTTCAAATTTGGATTCCTTTTATTTCTTCTTTTTGTCTGATCACTGCAGCTAGCACTTCTAGTACTATTTCGAATAGGAGAGGTGAAAGTGGGCACCCCTGTCCTGTTCCTGTTCTTAGGGGAAATGGTTTTAGTTTTTGCCCATTGAGTATGATGTTGGTTGTGGCTTCTATTATGTTGAGGTATGATCCTTCTATTCCCACTTTGTTGAGAGTTGTTATCCAAAAAGGGTGTTGGATTTTGTCAAATGCTTTTTTTTTTTTTAGCATCTATTGATATGATTATGTTGTTTTTATCTTTCAGTTTGTTTATGTGCTATATCACCTGTATTGATTTGTGGATATTGTACCAGCCTTGTGTTCCTGGAATAAATCCCACTTTATCATGGTGTATGTTGTTGCTATCTTTCTAATTCTTTAAGTTGTAGGATTAGATAACTTATTACAAGTTTTTCTTGTTTTATAATGTATTGCTGGATCTGATTTGCTAGAATTTTGTTGAGGAATTTAGCATCTATGTTCACCAAGGATATTGGCCTATAATTCTCTTTCTTTGTAGGGTATTTATCTAGTTTTGGAATTCAAGTAATGCTGGCTTCATAGGAAGTGTTTGGAAGTGTTTCTTCCTTCTGAAATTTTTGGAATAGTCTTAGGAGGATACATATTAGTTTTTCTTTGAATATTTGGCAAAACTCCCCTGTGAAGCCATCTGGAGCAGGGCTTTTGTTTGCCTGGAGTTTCTTTTCTTTTTAACATTGCTTCAATTTCCTCAGTAGTTATCAGTCTATTCAGGTTTTCTCTTTCTTTTTAATTGAGTTTTAGAATATTGTATGCTTTCTAGGAATATGTCTATTTGGTCAAGGTTGTTCAGTTTATTGAAAAAGAGTTGTTCATAGTCTTATTTTACAATCCTCTGTATCTCTGTGGGGTCAGTTGTTACTTCACCTCTTTTGTTTCTGATTTTGCTTATTTGGGTTCTCTCTCTTTGTTTCTTGGGGAGTCTGGCAAAAGGTTCATCAATCTTGTTTATCTTTTCAAAGAACCAGCTCTTGGTTTTACTGATCTTTTGTATTGTTGTATATTTTATGCCTCTATGTCATTTATTTCTGCTGTGATCTTTATTATTTCACTAGAGTCACGGTGCCCGAAAGTCGTGCATGGGTAGGGTCCCTAGGCTTGGACGGCAATCAGGGCCAATCTGTGGGGTGACCTGCGGGGTGATCAGGCCTCCAGCTTGCACCCGCCTTGGCCTGGCACCACCCACTCACTGGCCCTGCCACCCCCCTGGCTCCCTCCCTCTTTGGGTGACCAGTGGGGCAACTGGGGGCCCCTGCTTGCACCCACCTTGGCTGACCTGGCACCGCCTGCTCACTGGCCCCGCCCCCTGTCACTGCCAGTCAGAGCCTGTGGGCTGGGAGCAGCTCTTGTGTTGAGCGTCTGCCCCCTGGTGGTCAGTGTGCATCATAGCCACCAGTTGTTCCACCATTCAATCGATTTGCATATTAGGGTTTTATATAGATAGATTCCTTCTAATTAATTTGGACTTTTTTTGCTGTTATCTTTCCAATTCTTTAAGTTGTAGGGTTAGATAGCTTATTACAAGTTTTTCTTGTGTTTTGAGGTAAGTCTATATAGTGCTATGAACTTCCCTCCCAGAATTGTTTTCATTGTGTCCCATAGATTTTGGATTGTTGTGTTTCCATTGTCATTTATTTCCAGGATGTTTTTATTTCTTCTTTAATATCTTTGGTAACCCATTTATTGTTTAATAGCATGCTATTTAGCCGCCATGTGTTTGATTGTTTTATTACAGTTTGATTTCTAATTTTATGCCATTGTGATTTGAGAAGACACTGGATATGATTTCAATCTTTTTGAATTTGTACAAACTTAGCCTATGTCCTAACATGTGATCTCTCTTTGAAAATGCCCCATGTGTACTTGAGAAGAATGTATATTCTGTAGCTTTGGGGTGAAATGTTCTGAAGATGTCATATTACATATGTGTTCTTT